GGATAAAAAGAGAGGAGAATAATGTCGGCTACTTTGATCTCTGCTGTGGAGAGAGGTGGAGTGAAAGAAGTAAATAAAAACGCAGCTGAAGACGGGAGGCAGATAAAAGGCGGGTGAATGGCTGAGAAGGAGGGAATGAGGCAGGGATATGGGCAGAGGATATGGAGGTTGCCAGGAAGGAAGAGAGAAAGAGGAAATAGTGTGGCTAGGGGGACAGAGTGGAAAGTGAGGTGCCACCCCACAAGCCCTCGAGGGTTCCCTCGCCTAGTGGCTGGCACCACACGACTTGGCCACCGTTTCCCTAGGCAGAGGCTGCCGGGGGTGAGGAGGAAGCTTGACAGAAGGGCAGATAAAGGTAGGTCAGCTATTGGGTGGAAACAAGACAGGGTTGCCAACTCCTGGTTAGGAAATTCCCAGAGATCTGAGGGGTGAAGCCTGAGGAGGGTGGGGGTTCAGGGGGGGGGGGGGGGACCTCAGAGGGGCATAATGCCAGAGGAGACTCCACCCTCCAAAGCCGCTATGTCCTCCATGGGAACTCAGCTTGCCAACCTCCAGGTGGCAGCCGGACATCGCCCAGCATTGTAACTGCTCTCTTGACGACAGAGAGGAGTTCCCCTGGAGAAAACTGCTGCTCTGGAGAGTGGACTCCGTGACATTACACCCTGCTGAGGATGCTTCCCTCTCCCAAACTCTGTGGGAAACCCGTCCCAGTTGCTGGGAGCTCGATGGCTGAGAAGGAGGGAATGAGGCAGGGATATGGGCAGAGGATATGGAGGTTGCCAGGAAGGAAGAGAGAAAGAGGAAATAGTGTGGCTAGGGGGACAGAGTGGAAAGTGAGGTGCCACCCCACAAGCCCTCGAGGGTTCCCTCGCCTAGTGGCTGGCACCACACGACTTGGCCACCGTTTCCCTAGGCAGAGGCTGCCGGGGGTGAGGAGGAAGCTTGACAGAAGGGCAGATAAAGGTAGGTCAGCTATTGGGTGGAAACAAGACAGGGTTGCCAACTCCTGGTTAGGAAATTCCCAGAGATCTGAGGGGTGAAGCCTGAGGAGGGTGGGGGTTCAGGGGGGGGGGGGGGGACCTCAGAGGGGCATAATGCCAGAGGAGACTCCACCCTCCAAAGCCGCTATGTCCTCCATGGGAACTCAGCTTGCCAACCTCCAGGTGGCAGCCGGACATCGCCCAGCATTGTAACTGCTCTCTTGACGACAGAGAGGAGTTCCCCTGGAGAAAACTGCTGCTCTGGAGAGTGGACTCCGTGACATTACACCCTGCTGAGGATGCTTCCCTCTCCCAAACTCTGTGGGAAACCCGTCCCAGTTGCTGGGAGCTCGGTTGTGATTCCTGGAGAACCACCACCACCACCACCCCCCGCCCCCGGTGGTGGGTGTGTGGGGGGGGGGGGGGGGGAGGCAGACTGGGGTCTGAGAGAGTGTCAGGAGGCAGAAAGAGAGTGATGAGGTGGGGGGCAGAAAGAGAGAGGAAGTGGCAGGCATGGAGGAGAGAGAGTAAGAGAACGGGTGGTAGGAAGCAGAAAGTGAGAGACATGGAGGAGGAGGAGGAGAGGGGAGGAAGCAAAGGTGGGAGGAATGGAATAGCCACTCCCCACAGGTTTCCTGCAAGTCCCCACTTGTGATGCCCTAAAACCCAGGACGTGGCTGCTGTTCCCACTGAACGATGGCACTACTCTGTCTAATAGGCTCTCTGCAAGTTTTGTTTTTGTTTTTGGATAAGTTATCCTGATCATTTATGCTTACTTAACATGCTATATCCTTTCCTTCATATAAAGATCACCCAGGATCACTTGTAGCCTAGTCATAGAAAAAGCAGATTAATTCAATGTCATAAGAACCTCTCCACGCAACACAGAGAGAGAAAAAAATGAAGAGAAAAAAAAAATGCAAGAGTTGAAACAAAAGTTAAAAGAGTTGAAACAAAAGTTAAGATAAACGCAAGATAAATGAAACCAGAACAGCTTCACACATCCTATTTAAAAACACATGCCTGCCCTCACAGCTGGTTTAACAGAATCAGGAAACTGCACTGCAGATATGTTGGATCACACACTTTCAGGACAGGAGCAGGCGGCCTTTGTTTCCGGGTGCAAGACCCTGTGACCACACTCTAGTTCATGCTTTGCTTCCTAGCACCCAGTTCACAAAAGCAAGTGGCATAGATTTTTTAAAACAAATCCTGCCACCAAGGCGGAAGGAAAGCATTTGTCATTTCTAATTACCCCCCCCCCCAATTTCAGTGGGCTGGGAATGGGTACGAGCCAAGAGACAAAAGTACCTAATTTTGCCTTTAAACTGAAAATCACGGGACAGAGAAGTGCAGGGTGGGGCTAGTCTGGTGCATTTTAGACTTCCTTTTCTGCTGGTTTCCTTGCTTGTCAGTGAGAATGTATATAGTTATGTAATTCACAACATCTTTTTGGCCTCAAGATTATGGGATGTTATGCACATCTTTGGGAGGCTGCTATACATAGATGCAGGGTGGATAAAAACATTTTTAAAAAATTGGTTTTGATAAAATGCTTTCTGAGGAAAAATCTATCTAAAGATAGTTTTCTATTTAAAATACATTATAGTCCGAAGGTTATTCATCATGAAATAAGGATTAGTTTTTAATTATGTAGCATGAGGCTGTATATGCACGCAAGGTTTAATGAGTTCCATTAATCCATTCACAATGTCATGCTCTTCCAGAGGTTTCTGTAAGATTACTGGACAATTTTTCTATCTAAAAGATATTATCAGAGATGCTTGGTTTGGCAGCTCTCAAAACTGTGAATTTGTATCTGCAGAGACAGCACAACTCTTCTTCACATGTTATAAAATTAAGAGACCGCAGTCTTATTGATCCTCTTCAAATCTATGCACGCAGAATCTCTTATCAAGAGGTTCAATGAATATAAGATTGTGTGGGGTGGAATAGGACTGGATAAGGAGGAGATGTTAAGGGCTAAGAGTGAGGAGATAGGGGCAAGGAGTACAAAAGAAAGTGAAACCTCTTGAGCAGAATACTCCAGGAATCTTGATATCTTTGTGAGATCATGGATGTTTACACAGATACAAGAATATATATGCTATACAATGTTACTGCTTTAGTTAGATAAAACAATTTAAATAGTTATTATTAATGGTTATTTTTCTCCTTCCAATAAAGTACAGCAGAAAAATTGTCCAACTATGAATTATTAACAACCTATTAAAACTGGAGATAGTTCACCTTGCAATGATTTCATAATGATCTATTTCAAGTGGTAAATAACCAATCTTTAATTTTCCAATATAACTAATACTAACCTGAAAAAGTTAGTATACTAAAATGAAACCTTCATCTGGGTTGTGTAAATATTAAGGCCAGCAAGAATGAACCTTTATGTAGAAAACATAAATCAAATCCACCCTGGATAAGCATACTGCAAAATAAAACTGAGCTGATGCTCTGAAAATCAGATGGATTGGCTAGACGGCAGTTTCCCCACAAGACAGGGGGCTAAATGGGACAATGGGTGGGGGTGGCACTGCACTGAGAGAGATCTAGCAACCGGGCAGGCAGGCAACCGGGCAGGTACAAGAGGCTGCCCCCCAGGCAAGTGGGGCCAGAAAGCCAGCCCTGACAGTGGTATTAAGAGGATGAAAGGGAGGAGGCTATTCAAGGGCACATCCAAAAGATCTCAAGCGCTGATGAGGCCTGGATGGATACAGCAATGGGACACAGCAATCTGATTTGCCCTCCCATGATCAAAAGATCTCACCCCTCCTGCCGCAGCTGAAACTGCTGACTGACTCCAAAACTCCCCACTACAGAAGCTTACCAAATAATCCATGAAAGAAAAAACACGGTTTAAAGACAAGTGTTCAGATTTATTTGGAAATTCACAGTTTCTACTGGCACTACAAATTTGTAGTTACGTATTACAAGTTCCTTGTGCCACAATTTTCTATGCGTCCGCTCAGATAGTAGAACCCCTTCTGATTTTGGTTCTAGTTTGGACCCTCTGCCCCCTTCCCGGTCAATTCATTCTTTAAAAAATATTAGGTCCATATGCTTTGACTGGCTAGCTGTGCAGGCTCTAAAGGACATCACTGTAAAATGTATTCCGAAACTAACATGAAAGCAGCAAAAACAAAATCTTTTAAATAAATCACATTACATGTAATACCCAGGAAAAGGCATTAGCTGTTTTTTAAAAAAGAAAACCACAAAGAGATGTGACTAAAAGTGCTCAATAAGTTATATCTTATACAACATGAACCTTGAACCTCTCAAAAAAGGACCTTTTTGTCACATTCACTCAGATGTATTCATACAACCCCACTCTGTAACAAAACCACACATGAGGAAAGTACAAAACTCACACAGGCACACTGCACATGGGTTAGCCAATTAAAAAAACCACAAACATTGTGGACATACCTTTGGAACAGAACAACTTGGAGCTTGACAGACTGACTGCGCATTTCGTTTATGGCCCCCCATTGCAACCAGAACCGATTCAGAACAGTTCTTCCTCCCAATTTCTTAGTACAGGAAGAGAACCAGCGATCAAAACCGCTGATTAAACAAAAATTAAACCAAGTCAGTCTAGGCAACAAAGGCATGTTTTCTTAACATCACATCCTGCAAGGGTACATTAGCTGCTACATCAGATGTATGCGGTATTGGCCCCAACTGCCTTTGCAAAACAAAGTTCAAATGAGAAAAGTCTACCCAGTTATCCAAATCACATCATGGGCTCCCACTGGAGGACGGCACATTCTCCCAAGAACATGGTAGTGTTGCATTTTTCAGAAGACCTAAAATGTAAAATTCCCTCCCCCCCCCCCTCCAGTGGCACTATAAATAGACAAAAGGCACATAAATATGGGAAGGTGCTAGAAATAGGAACACAGCAAAAGAGGGGAAGGGTTATGCTTTTAAACTCTGTTCTACCCCAAACTGGGTTTCAAGATCTCAGCATCAGCATCTGTGAAAAAAACACTGTATAAAACGAGCCATGTCCCCCCCCGTCCCCCCCCACGGGCAGTTCCCCTCCCTCCAGCGATCCATATCAGAAATTAGCTTGGAGGAAGCTGAAGCGGACAGCCAAGGTTGGTTATGGACACAACCCTTAAGAAAAGAGCCACCATCCAGACGCTTTGCAAATAACCAACCTTTCCCCTCCCAGTCACCAAAATACTACAAGTTGTGTCATACAAAAGCTCCCTGCAGTACGAAGAGTTCAATGCATTTTAAAGGTGCCCAGAAACAGCTGTGACACCGAGTGTTCCCACGGTCAGTTCCTTGTTTCCTTTGATGATATCGTGCAGGCTTGGCAAGGACCCCGTCTTTGTCTGTATTAAAGTTTTCATGAGCTTCCCCTGCTCTGGAGCTTTAGCCCGTCTCCGCTTGAGAGCCCGCTTCTCTGTTCTTGTCTTTTGGATTTGCCCATTGCACAAGCTCGTGCACGCTGAAATGCCACAGAAGTAGGACTCTTCAGACTGCGAGGAAGTTTCTGAGCTTCCTTCCGACGGGGGACCTTTGTACGAAGAGTGGTACATGTCACCAATATTGGAGAAGTCCCTCTGATTTGTAAAGGGCTTCCTGCTTTTTATTTCCCCATTAGGTACTAGATGCATGGGCTCCACTGCTGGTTTGACTGTTTCAATCTTTTCAGTTTTGTATTTGCAGCGTTTCTTCTAAGAAAAAGGAGGAATTAGAAAGTTGCACATAAGCAAGCTTTGTTCAGAGGGAGGATTGTCACATGAAGCTACCTTATATTGAATCAGAGCCTGGGTCCATCCAGGTCAGTCTTGTCTACTCAGACTGGCAGCAGGTCTTTCCCACCACCTCCTGCCTGGTCCCTTTTCAACTGGAGATGCTGCCAGGGACTGAACCAGGGACCTTCTGCAGGCCAAGCAGAGGCTCTTCTCCACTGAGCCATGGCCCCTCTTTACAGCTCTCCAGGGTCTCAGGCGGAGGTCTTTCCCATCACCTCCTGCCTGGTCCCTTTTCAACTGGAGATGCTGCCGGGGATTGAACCGGGGACCTTCTTCTGCAGGCCAAGCAGAGGCTCTTCTCCACTGAGCCAGCGGCCCCTCCCCTTTCTTCCACCACTTTCACTACCTTCTGCATATTCTATGCAAGCAGAGGTCACAAAAGGAGCTGGATTAGAAGCTGGATTCGCTTCTTTAAAAAAGCTAACTATTGCACAAGCTAAATAACCAACACTGATCAACTGGCAAATATATTCACACTTTTGACAGAAATTTTGTTTAGGACAAAGTACCTTTTTCTCTGGCGAAAACTTCAACGGCTCTACAATGTACAGATCACCCGGGTCCACTACAAGGAAAGAAAAGAAGTTAGACTGAAGAGTGAGTTAAGTACACAACTCAATTCCAAACATATTCTTAGATTGCAACTTGCATCACTGGATGGTCTCTACACACTTCATCGTGTCTGAAAGATCTGCAGGTAAAAGGAAGCTGCTTGGTAGCCTTCCCTTGTAATACCTGCACTCCAGGGACAGAACCCTGGGGACCTGCTGCTTGGGGAAATGCCACCCCGAAAGGAGTAATCTTCATTCACTGTGTGCCTTGTTGTTAACTATACCCTGGTTTAGCAGAGAGAGGGTTACTCTCTTCCTTGCAATGAAAGGAAACCTCAACCTGTTCCCAGGTCGTCAGGCTGTGCTCTGTCAGGACAGCAGGACTTTTCAGTAACTGTAAAGCTGCTGTGAGAAAGATCGGAGGAGAGTAAGGCGTTGTGAACGTAAAGGCCACCCACTGAACTTCGGAGGCCTTAAATCCACCCCCTCGGCAACACTCCGCTTCCCATGATGCCTCAGCCTTTGGTCCCTCAAGCACCGTCAGTTAATATCTACTAGCCAAGTGGAAATGTCAATATAATGTTCACACAACAGCTAGCTTGCTTTCTCCCCGAAAACTGCATTTCCCAGTTTCAGACTATCTGTTTTATGTATACCCCCCCTTTTCTCCCCCCTCCCCCCATAGTGGCTTATAACCTCCTTTCCCCATTTTACCCTAAGAATCCCTACGACCCAGGTTGTGTGCTGAGGGTTACGGGCCTGGTGAAAGGTCACCCAGCAAGGTTCTGTGGCAGAGTGGGGATTGCAACCTGGGTCTCCCAGAGCCCAGACCGACACGAACAGCTATGGTGCAGCGGCTAAAGGATCGGGCCGGGAGCTGGGAAATCCCACTCGTGCCTTGGAAACTCGCTGGGTCACCGTGGGCCAGTCACACACTCTCAGCCTCATCTAACTCACGGGGTTGTTGTGAGGGGAGGAGAATGACGCATGCCATTTTGGGTTCCCACTGGGGAGAATGGTGGGATAGAATTAAAGTAAAATAAATAAATACACCACACAGGCCTTCAGACATGTGGAGCAGGCTAGCCTTCCTCTGAAAGCATGCCACTCTGGCTGCAACATAAAATCCCTTGGGTGAATCAGCCTGTGATGAGATGGTCTGCTTGGGCAAGAGGCCCTTGGCAGATCTGAGGTCAGCTGTCCAAATTATGCTAACTCCAGAAAACATGGCAAACTAATGGAGGCATCTTGTTGCCTAGATTTGTGTTAAATTTGTTCTGAACCAAACCAAATACAACAGAATTCTTAAGCGACAATGAAATGAAGATTGTTCCGTAGTGGAATAAAGTACAGATTGTACAACGTGATTCCCTAAAGACAAGTCCGTTGAATGACTGATGTTCCTACCTTCTTTGCTGTTCAGCTGAAAAGACTGAGACCTGGTGAGCGGAAAGGAGGTTCTTCTTTTCAAGTTCATATCATCATAGGAAGAAAAACACCTGCAGGTGACCACACACAAAATTAATCTCCTCCTTAGCAACAAAAATTCTTATGATGCGTCAGTAAGATTTCCTTGCCCCACCCTGAAACCAAAAACTTTCCCCATAATAAGGATCGGCAGAAACCTCCTAGCATTGGTCATTTAATTCCTTATGGAGGTTTCTCTTAAGAAGAAGAAGGAGAGAAGAGATTGGATTTATGCCCTCCCCATCACTACCTGAAGGAGTCTCAGAGCGGCTTACAAACTCCTTTCCCTTCCCCTCCTCACAACAGACACCCTGTGAGGTAGGTGGGGCTGAGAGAGCTCTGACAGAAACTGCTCTTTTTCAAGAACAGTTCTGACAGAACTTATGACTAACCCAAGGTCATCCAGCAGCTGCAAGTGGAGGAGTGGGGAATCAAACCCGGTTCTCCCAGATTAGAGTCCATGTACTTAACCACTACACCAAATGACACCAAAGTGGGAACAACTCCAAGGTCTAAATCACCTCAAAGCCTTTGGGAATTAATAAACATTACACTTTTCTGTATTTCTGCTATACACTGAGGCTTCCAATATCCTGGCTGAACAGACAAAGGGAATATTTTGTAACAAGTACTGAAAGAAGGGACAGGTGGATGTGAATACAAACAGGAGGAGGAAAAAAATCACATGTGAAAAAATATCTGAAGGCAGAAAATGTTGAGCCAGTTGTAGTCTGTTACCTTTTTGGACTGGGATAGTGATTATTTTTGAGAAGTTCTGAGCAGTAGTTGTCATTCAACTCTGACCTATTTTTGCAGCGCTGTACACAAAGCATCAAGCCCAGAATGGCACAGAGCACCAAGCAGATTACGAGATAGCTCTGGCGATCAGACACCTAACAAAAGAGAAATGGGTACATTGTAAGTCAAATAGGTCCATGCAAGTGAGCAGCTACAACACGGTACAGGCCCCGAAGTCCATTGGTTTCAGTGTGTCTGATCCTAATTTCTGACTTTTTATGAGCCTGGAGGTCACTCAGATCTATCTCCTGCAAACAATAGTTAGAGCCAACAGAAAGACTTTCACAGCAGCGAAATCAAGGTTTTCACACAGTTAAGGATTCAGCCAAGCCAAGGTGTTGGAATCCATCTATGCTACCCAGTACTCTACTGCCCCTAGAGAATGAGGTTTGCCATTACTGTGTACTTCTGGACGCAACACGGCTTGGAATTCAAGCAACAACTGAGAGAAATGGTCATTTATCACCACCTTAGGGTGATATGTCAATTGCGATCCTCTCTGTAGAAGGGTGGCCTCGGTGTCCTCTCAACCGGAGTATTATACTGCACTCCGTGTCTAAAGCTGCCCTTGAAAGAGTTTCTCAAAATCACAGCTACATCAGAATGCAGCCACTTAGCTCTGGGCAGACAATATGCAAAAGGGCCTTTGTGGTGATGGCACCCTAACTGGCCCCTTCCAGTTTAACTTTAAGGTAGAAGGGGGACTCTTCTTTTGGGGGAGGCTTTGGACCTCGCAATGATTGTGACAGAAATACTCTTTGGCATTCAGTTTTGGTTTCTTTCAGTGTTGTATTTTGTGTTTGTTCCTGCCTGACAGGGAGGGAGGGAGATACCCTACCCTAAACACAAGATCGGAATGTTTATGCATACACAAATGTAACCCTTTCTTGATAACCCCTTACAGTTCACAAGACCGCTCTCAAAGGACCCATTGCATGGAGCTTCCATTCCACCCAACAGACTCACCTCACAGTGGCAAAAGTTGTGGGCCAATAAGAAATGATGACTTCTAAGGCAAAGAGCTAAGACGGTAAAGTGCAACCTGTCTTGACTGTTTACAGTCTACTTTTACAAAGACAAGTAGTGGCTTGCTTTCTCTCAGGCACTTACAAGCACAAGACTCCGAGCTCAAGTCAACGGGCAGAACGATGGACACATTTTATTTAAGCTATTCATGCTTATCTAGTAACAAACAATCCATGCAAAGGATGATATTTCTGCTGCAGATTGCCCTGCTGCACACGGGAGAATGCTGTGAGAGAGGAGGCCCTGCTGAAGTCCAGCAGCCTGGGCCGCGCATATTTTATCCAGACCAGCACATCAGCAGCAAGCGGCGGCCCCTTCCCTGCAGATACCCCTGCTCCTCCTTGGGGGGATAGGGTTAGGGGTCATTTCTCAGCTACAGATTCTTTCCATATTTTTCTAGCTGACTGACCTGCAGAGCAGAATGCATTTGGGTACATACATGGTATGAGCCCAATGACTCCCAGTCAGAGGTAGGATAAAATAAATTTTTTATTTATGTTCCCTACAGGGTACATGAGGGGGTTCTTCCCAGTGTTTTGCTCTTGCTGTTAAAAGGCCATATAATAGGTAGTTCAACCCCCCCCCCTTTTCACTTGGTAGCTGTAATTTTATGTAAGCAGTTCTGGGTATAATCCCACCAAATGAAAGTTAAAAAAAATGGAATTGATCTTGAGAAATCATTTTTTGGGGAGATATGCACAGGCATATCTCTCTAATTATATACCGTAGATCAGCTTGGGAACAAAATTCATCTTAAGGATGCTAAATTTACCCCGATCTGTTAAAGATGTCCATCTCTTTAGATCTTCCATAATACGTCACCAGGATTTAGATCCTCCATAATACTCCACTAGGATTATGTATACAGGATTATGGAGTATGAGCTGTTGAAGTGCACAGTTCCTAGAACTTATCTTTTCACTCCATTCATGTTTAGCACCTGCTGCACTTGTTTAATATTACGTGACCTCACTGTCTCAACAGAAGAGCGTTCACTGGTACTTTCTACAGTCTGAACCTATGAGAGCGAGTCTGAGGGAAATTCTCTAAGCACATCTACACTATATACTTCAACCTTGCGAGCTGCAGTTCCACAAAAATGCTATAAATTATTTGTTATTTGCTGCCTGGCCTTCAAAAATGTACGGCTTCTGAGATCCACAACACTCTGTGCTTGGGTACGCGGCAGCCAAAGGTAGTGTATTCTGCACAGAGCTCATTGGCAGAAAGCCAGGCCCCAAAGGGACTGACAGTGGCATGAAATGTTGGTAGCACAGAAAAATTTCAAAAGTATAGCATATGGACTGTATATTGCTCCTACCCCTTGCCCTTCACTCCCCAAAGGAGACTCAGAGCGGCTGACAAACTCCTTCCCCTCCCCCTCCCCACAACAGACACCCTGTGAGGTAGAGGCTGAGAGAGCTCTGACAGGAATGGCTCTTTTTCAAGGACAGCTCTTGTCAGAACGAGGGCTTGCTCCAGGTCATCCAGCAGGTGCAAGTGGAGGAGGAGCGGGGAATCAAACCGGTTCTCCCAGATTAGAGTCTGGGAGAACTTAACCACTACACCAAAATGCCCAGGGTTTTAAATTTAGTATCTCATTATAAAAAATAAAATACTTTTCCTCTTCAGGAAGTGTTTTTACCTCTATTTTTAGTTCAGCCACAGTTGATGACAGATTGGCAACTAGCTGTGTCATATTGGTCAGCTGTGCCTGCAGAAGTTGAATGGCCTCTGTCTGCTTCAAATCCTAGATGAAGAAAATAAAATAAATATCCTCCCCTTTTCACTCTAACTACGCAGGACGCTTTCCAGGTAGAGTAGGACCGCTGACCTTACAGCCAAGGTGGACCGTGGACAACGTGAGGCACAAAAACTGGTGCACCAAGATGAGGCAGGAATTAAAGTATATTGAGGAACTTGGGAATAAAATGAAGCAGAGGCTACTTCTCAGGTGGCTTTTAACAGCTACCAACGACAAGCTCTTGCTCGCCCACAGGCCTCCGGTGAAAAGAACTGAACTGCCCTTGAAGTTTTGCTAAAAGAAGCAACACTCGTTAGTCTGCACCCAGAAAAGTATGCAAAATTCTGGTTCTATTCCCTCCTCACCCCCCGCCAAAGCCAAGTTTCTAGCTCTGTGGTATCGATGCCAAATTTTTTGGCTGTGCCTAGTTTTGAAACCACAGGGTGGATAGGAAAGGCTTCCAACAAGTCAAGGAGGGGAAACTTAAATTACTCTTCTCACAATGGCTAGCAAAGGGAAAATGTATCTGCATCATTTATTCGGGGTACAGAAAAGCTGTACAGTGACTTCCGGTTGATGGTGGTGCTCCAGCCGAAGGAGGGGGTGTGCAGGTTCATCACCCCACCAGGGACCCGGCTGAAGGGACCCTGGCCATGGAACTTCCGAGAAGTCGCCTCTTTGATGGTGTAATGCCGGTGAATTGAGGCGCCTCTCTGTTCTGACGGTCCTCCGTGCTGTGAGACCAAATGGACTTAGTGACGCCGACCGGGGCAAGCGCAGGAGATCGAGTGTAAGAAATGGAGTGTAATCGAGGTCGGAAGACCAATTATGAATGTGAGTCAGACTTAAGCGATGATTAAAGGGAAAAGAAAGCTCCCCACCCTATCCCACGGAACAGAAAATCAGGCGAGCAGGGGAGGGACGTCTCCCATGCGCATGAACTTATGAACAAATGAGGGGGGAGCGGAAGAAAACTCGGTTAAAACTGTCAAGGAGTACTTACCAGGCGAGTCTGAGCGTTTGAGCGCATATTCAGAGACTTTTAAAAAATTTGCGAAAGTAAACAATCGATAAAGATAGCGGGGAAGAGGACGGAGAAAGATAAACTTTTGAAATCGAAAGTAACTGAGAGCCAAAAACCGGAAGTAACCAACGAGCTGGCAAAGACTTTGGCAGAATCCATGTGCCCCCTGATGGACCAGATGAATAACTTCAAAGAGCAGATGACAAAAATGACCCAGTGCATCACCACTCAGCAAACGCAGATAAATGAGACTTTGCAAATGATGAATCAAACAGCTGAGAAGGTGAAAGAAGTGGACGCCACTGAACAAAAGGTGAAGAAGAAAGTACAAAAACTGGAAAAGAAGCAAGTTTCTACAGAAGATCAGCTGTTACAATTACAAATGGAAAAGGCTGACATGATTCTTCGCTTTCAGGGCATGCCAGAGACTAAGGGAGAGAATCTGAAGGAAAGGATGAGCGAAATATTGGCGCCAGTGACAGATATGAAGGCGGAATTCTTGCTAAGCGAAATGGATGTGGCCTTTAGGTCATATTCTGGATAAATAAATAAAAATAATCTGCCTGGGGAAATTGTAGTAAGATTCTTGAAGAGGCATGTGAGGGATGCAATCCTGAAAGCAGTAACTGGAGCACCCCTGAGAGACGGGGAGAATGTCATCAGAGTACTAAAAGACATTCCATTTGAAATAAGATAAAGGAGAAAGAAATACAAAGAACTCTCTTTCTTCAGACAAACTCAATTGGATACAGATGGCTAATTTCAGAAGGCATTACCTTCAAAATTAAGGATAAAAAAGAAAAGACTGACTCTGTTCTGAAAGCACGGGAATTTTTAAGAGTCCAGCTGGGAGGGCCAGTGGAGGAAGAAAAAGGATGGACAGTAAGTCCAGCGGCGAGCTAGACTCGGGATCTTCCGGAGAGGAGTCTCTTTCAGTGAAAGGGGCAGCAGCTCCTAAAAGTCCTTATAAGCTGCGGAAGAGACTGGGAAAAGAGAAGTGAAGGCTGAAGGACTCTGAATTGTGCCTTTTGAAGATTTTGAAATGAGATGCTTTGGGGTATTTCCTAATGACAGTTAAGATTGGGAAAAAAGTTAACAAAAATATTTGATTTAGTTCATAATGAGATTGAAATTAAGACTTGATGTATGTTTAAAATGATTAGAAGATCTCCTCTCTTGGGTTTTTAGTCATTACTGGGTATCTTTGCTTTGTCCCTAGATGTAGTCCCTTACCCTTTTTCTGTTGTAGTTTGTAGTGATTATAAAAAATGCAATAAAAAATCCACTCCGGGGGGCATAAAAAAAAGAAAAGAAAAGCTGTCCAGTGTTATCCTTCTCATCAGGCTACTGAGTTGAGGACTGTGCTCAAAATCTATAGGATGCTACAGCAGAGGCAGTAACAGTGAGCTTGATCCAGAGGGGACACATGTCTTCTTTTTCCAGCTTAAGAAAGTTAGACTAAATGAAAAAGCAGCGCATCTGTCATACTGGAAAAAGCCTTTTTTTGTCTTTTTGAAGCTGTCCTTTAAAATTTTGATCAAGGACAGGCCAACACTGAATGAATCAAGCTGTAACCTTATTTTTGATCAAAGAGAGACCCACTAGCAGTAAGAGAAAAGCATCTGCGACTACAGATGCAGCAGAAATGTTCTTGAGCAGCAAAACAAAATGAAAGAAATCTCTAGCTCACAATCAACACTTTGAACTACAAAAGCCATGAACACAGTCCAAATAAAACACGTGCTGCTTATAAACCTGCGTGAACTCAAACAGCCATTAAGCAGAACGCTTAGCCTGGCAGGTTTTACTTAATTTCACAGCCATGCCACCTCCCTTCGTTCTCGTGCTGTTGAGAGGCCTCTAAACGAGGGAAGCAGAGCCGCTGCGCACAGGAAACGTACCTGCTGTTCTGCCAGGCGTGAAGTATTCTGAAGTTTTATTATCGTTTTATTAAAAGCCTTCTGCATTTCATCCATTTGCTTGCGGTATCTACAAAGTGAGTCACACACAAATCTTAGACAGTATCGTCATCTCCGTACCAGAGTAATTTCTCCCTCCTCACTTTGAAGTGGATGAGCGAGAACAAGGTCTCTTGACATGGAGGAACTTTCAATCAGCGTCCCTGACTCCCCTTCCCGCCCCCTTCATTGACAGGGAACGATCTTACAAAATACAACTTTAAAGGGAAAACCCAGTTCCCAAATTAATCCTGTATAAATTATTTTTCTTAATACAAGACACTTCATTCTATGAAGCAAAATCCAGCCACCTGGGGCACATGCAGAAGAAACTTTGCTGCAAAAGCTGAGCTTCTGTGTCTTCAAGCCTGCATGAGTGCATCTGACATATCTTACTCTTAGTCATGTACACACAAATTTATACCACACTGAACATACCAAAGCATCTCAAGCCTTCTCCTCGGGCCACACCTACTCTACTTAAAGAGCCACAGGTATTCAAATGCCCAGTATGCGAATGTTCATTCTACGCACAGTAGGGCCAGGAGACCCATTTCCTCCTAGAGGCTTTGCAGAACTCACATTCTGATGGAAGAGCAGGCTTGAATTAGTTTCACAGAGATTAGTTCCTCAGTCAACTTTTTAAAATGGACTAGAACTGAGAGCAGAAAGATTCTGCTATGAGGGCATACCTTTGGCTAAGTTCTTCCAAATAGCGGCTGCTGAGAGACATGTTTACTTCCAGGGCTTTAATGCGATTGTTGAGCCTCATAAAGACAGACTCTTTTTGGTTGGATCCATGAACAAGGTTCCCATTAGCGTAACTCAAGTCTGTGGAATTCTGCAGTTCAGCATAGAAGTCTGTAGCAGTCCGTGGTAACCCACCAGAAACGGGAATAGGGAGAAATGGCTCCTCAACCACCGTGTCATCATCTTTTATTTCCGATGAAGATGACTCTACAACAGGCGACTCCACTGGTTTTTCGGTTGCCAAGGAACCCGCCTTTCTTTCCCCATCGCTGCTTTCTACGGCTCCGGTACATTCCGACTGCGTAACCGTCTCTGCTGGCTTTGAGACTGTTTCAGTAGGGGTCCTCTCTTCTCCCGTCTCTTCAACTTCAGTTACAACACTGGTTCCAGGCAGTTGCTCTGTAACAGACCCAACAACTTCATCTTTTTCAGCAGGGATTTCCTCCTGGGGAGGAGCCTCTGGCGTTTCAGATACAGCTTCCTGTTTTGTGGGCTCGGAGGACACATCCCTTGTAGACTGCGCCTCGGCTCCCGTGGTGACACCCAAGAGGATGGACTGAGAGACCGTCTGCGGATGACTGGGTTCCAGTTCAAAAGCTCCCTCAGTCTGATTAATGATGGGCTCGGTTGACACACTGCTTAGGATGCCTACAGTGGCTTCTGGTGGCTCTGGAATAAGGGTGTCCAATTTGTCAGGAAGAGGTTCATATGTTGATATGTACAAAGATTTGGTTGAAACTAATTCGGGCTGGAAAATAGCTGAGTAGGATTTCCCCCAACTGGTATCTTTTTTGCTATGGTAGCGCTGCAGCGCTGCGATTGCTGAACAGCGCTTGTATAGATATTCCGAAAAGGTGGAAATGCAACAGACTGTCATCAGCTCGTAGCAATAGATCTGTGTTTCTGATTCAAACCACAACATTTCTTCTTCTTGTTCGTCGCTGGGTAGCAAGGTCACGGTTGATCGACTCGCTTCCTCTTCGTATTCTTGGACGAGCTGTACAATTGGACTGTCTTTTGTCACATCTACAATTAACGGCTCCTTCTCCGTTTGTGGTATCTCTGAAGCAACAAGCCTACAAACAACCGAAAATAAAAGTCAAAAGGTAGACTTGGCCAACTCTGGGTCCTGAGATGCTAAGGGGAAAGGCAGGCACACACACACACACAAACATCTTAAATTAATATTTAAAAACAAATCCTGATTCCCATCTTATGCGTGCTGAAACTTGTCTTGCAAACTTATGGATCACCAGGAATTTGAAGCCGGGACCTGAATCCAAACGGATCACTGAGCGTCACTCAGACTGCATTTTAAATTTGGACGGGATTGTTTCTTTAGGGCAATTTGAGGGATGAGGAATGAAAGTCTTTTGGGTGCAGTGCAAATGAATCAAAGTGACAGAAGGGAGGGTTAAATTACTCTAGTACTTAAGGGTTTGACTATGGGTAAAAGGAAAACACATCCTATTAAATCACTCAATGATTGGTTTAGAGGCCAAGGAAACCGAGCTCAAGTTTAAACACACGGGAGTGGGCAAGATGAGGCAGAATTGAAGTGCAGAAGGTGACTGAGATGTAGGGCAGCAGTTTCATTACTGCTTCTATTGTACTGAAATGCACTGCAATCCATCCAGCCTCTAAGATGAGGAAGGCTGGAAATTTCAAATACATGATTGCACATACAAAGAGTTACTTACTCCAAAGAAGGAGTGGTAGTTGGCTCCAGCAGACTTGGTACCACCCTGGAAGTTGCAGTTGTATTTTCAGGGACACTTTCATTTCCTACTTTAAAAAGGAGAGTATTGTTAACACAGAATAGGCTCACGGTTATAAAAATAGCTCACAAATAATGACACAATGAAGGGACTGTGAAATGACTGGGACAAAAACATGTAAAATCTGTCACATTATGGAATCTCAGAGATAATTTCAAGTTAAGGCACATCAGCTGAACAGCAGTCTTCTTATCACAGCACCTGAAAATGTTGTTCACCACAGTATGTAGGCAATTGTGAAACACAGCACAGAGAATCAACTGGTGAGGGGTGCAGCCTGACTAAATTTCTTTTTTATTTTTTTTTTATTTTCCATACAAGACAAACACAAAATAGACAAACACACATACATACAACAAATGGGGGGCTTCCGAGACTTCCGGTGATGGCTGCGCTTCAGCCGAAGGAGGGGACCCGGTTGAAGGGAAGCTGGCCATGGAACTTCTGAGAGGTCACCTCTTTGATGGCGGAATGCCGGAGAATTGAGGCACCTCTCCGATCCAACGGCTCTCCGTGCTGAGAGACCGAATGGACTTAAGCAACGCTAACCGGGGCAAGCGCAGAAGATCGAGCGTCCGAAAAGAGAACGTACACGAGGTCCGAGGACCAATTATGAACGAGAGTCGTTTAAGCGATGTTTAAAGAGAAAAGAAAGTTCCCTACCCTAACCTACGCAGCAGAGATTAAGGCGAGCGGGGAAGGGATGCCTCCCAAGCGCATGAACTTTTGAGTGGATGAGGGGGGGAGCGGAAGAAAAAAACACTTAGAACGGTTAAGAACTATATACCAAGGAGTGTTGGAGCGTTTAAGCGCATAGTCAGAGACTTTCAAAAAACTTGCGAAAGTAAACAAACCGAAGAACATGGCGGGGAAGAGGACGGAAAAGGAGAAGTTGCTGAAATCGAAAGTGACGGAGAGCCCAAAACCGGAAGGAACCAACGAGCTGGCAAAGATTTTGGCAGAATCCATGCACCCTCTAATGGACCAGCTGAATAACTTCAAGGAACAGATGTCTAATATGACTCAATGTATCACCGCTCAGCAAACCCAGATAAATGAGACTTTGAAAATGATGAATCAAACAGCTGAGAAGGTGAAAGAAGTGGATGCCACTGCCCAAAAGGTGAAGAAAAAAGTAAAACAACTGGAAAAGAAGCAAGTCTCCACAGAAGATCAATTGCTACAACTACAAATGGAAAAGGCTAACATGATTGTTCGCTTTCAGGGCTTGCCAGAGACAATCTAAAGGAAATGATGAGTGAAGTATTGGCCCCAGTGACAGAGATAAGGCAGAATTGTTGATCAGCGATATGGATGTGGCCTATAGGTCATATTCAGGTTATATAAAGAAAAACAATCTGCCTGGGGAAATTGTTGTAAGATTCTCAAAGAGGCACGTGAGGGATGTAATCCTGAAAGCAGTATCTGGAGTACCCCTGAAAACTGGTGAAAATTTCATAAGAGTTCTAAAAGATATTCCATTTGAAATAAGACAAAGGAGAAAGAAATATAAAGATCTTATTCTTTTTATTCAGACAAATTCAATTGGATATAGATGGCTAACTCCAGAAGGTGTCACCTTTAAAATCAAGGATAATAAAGAAAAGATTGACTCTGTTTTGAAAGCTCGGGAATTTTTAAGAGTCCAGTTGGGAGGGCCAGAGGAGGAAGAAAAAGAAGGGGAGGACAGTAAGTCCAGTGGCGAGCTGGACTCGGATTCTTCCGGGAAGGACTCTCTTTCAGAGAAAGGGGCAGCAGCTCCTAAAAGTCCCTATAAGTTGCGGAAGAGATGGGGCAAGGAGAAGTGAAGGCTGAAGGACTCTGATTTGTGCCTTGGAAAAACTTTGAAATGAGATGACTTGGGGTATTTCTTAATGACAGTAAATTTTAAGAACTGAAAAGTTATTGTTAAACTTGACTCAGTTTGTAAAGGGATTAGCGGGATTAAGACTTGATGTTTGTTTAAGATGATCAGAAGATCTCCTTTCTTGGGTTTTTAGTTCGTTGTTGTTGTTCAGTCGCACAGTCGAGTCCGACTCTTCGCGACCCCATGGACCAGATCACGTCAGGCCTTCCTGTCTTCCGCCATCCTCTGAAGTTGGCTCAATTTATGCTGCATAAATTAGTTTGCTCTGGAGCCAACCTTCCTGAGCAAAGACAAAAATGTGTAAGCTGGAGGCTCAAAAACTGTGAGCTGGCTCACACTAACTCAGCTTAGAGGGAACACTGGTCACTACATGTATAGTAAGATAAGAGTCTTGCTTTTTACAATTTTCTGGCAATATATTCAATAAAAACAACTCTGGCACATAAGGTATATTACATTTTAGCATTTTTTGTAACAATTCATGAATCCAAGACCAATATTTTTTAACTCTATCACATGTCCTCCACATATGAAAAAAGAACCAATTTTTTTTACACTTCCAACAACCATTTGGTAGCCCAGGATAAAACTTTGCTAATTTGTCTGGAGTGATATACCGTCAATAAAACATTTTATAGATATTTTCTTTAAATGAAATCAATATTATGACCCAAATTTTGCACCCATTGGACCATACAGTTTAACTATTTCATCTTATGTTTTGTTTTCTAACAATATTACATACTAGGAAAAAGGCCTGTTGTGGAAATAAATACAATGGCCTCTAGAAAGAGGCTCTGGGCGGGTGCCCCGGCCTTGGACACTCAGTGTCAATTTGCTGTGGTGACCTCAGCAGGGTATAATGACACTGAGTCCACCATTTTCTCCAGAGGAACTGATCTCTGCTACCATAAAGAATAGTTGTAATTTTGAGTGATCTCCAGCCCTCACCAGGAGATTGGCAACGATGGTTCCCCAGAAGGGAATAGTTGGTTTGGAGGGTGGAGTCTATGGCTTTGTACCTGTCCGATCCGGCCGCTGCTCGGGAGCAAGTCCCGGAGCCGACCATCCCTGAACTGGAAGCTGCCTGACAACATTTCTGAGAACTGGATATAAAGCAGCCACATTATAGATTTTCTCCAGCTTCTGAATTTGTGATGCTCTTTTTTGCACATAGAAAACAATTAATAGTCTCTTTTTCTGGTTTAAATTGTTTAAGATGATGCGTCCTTTATGAAAGTTCTGTTGCATACAAACTAGGTTATTAGTGGCCAAGTTCCCACTGTAATTTTATACTAAATTAAGAGGAAAGAGAAGAGACCATGTGCTATAAATAAAAACAGGTGCTGGCAAAGACTAAAAGGGAAAACCTTCAAGTGCCTGTTCATTCTTTAACCATTTAAATAGTGTACCTACATACTTTTCAGAAGACAGGTTGCAGAATATAAGAAGATGGGTTGGACTCAAAACCTGTCTTGGGCAAGCTGTGGGTGGGTGATTGGGAGAGCAGGTAATCAGTACCCTAATTACTAAAACGGGAGATTCCGAAGTTACACCTGCCTGATCATCACTTCCTCCAACTGAGAAAGGGTCTTGTAATACTGGGAAGTGAGCAGTTAATGTAAAGTGAGGGAAAAGCACCCTGTCCATGTGCCAAGTGTTTATAATCTTGGCATTCAGAGAAAAACAGGTTGCTTACCAGTCACTGGTGATCTTCGAGTGGTCATCTGTGCATTCACACCAATGGGTTTAGTGAACATAAGAACATAAGAACATAAGAGATGCCAATGTTGGATCAGGCCAAAGGCCCATCCAGTCCAACACTCTGTATCCCACAGTGGCCAGAAATACCAGTGCCATCAGGAGGTCCACCAGTGGGGCCAGGACATTAGAAGCCCTCCCACTGTTGACCCCCCCCAAGCACCAAGATGACAGAGCATCACTTGCCCCAGAGTCCCTATCTATACCTTGTGGCTAATAGCCACTGATGGACCTCTGCTCCATATGCTTATCTAATTCCCTTTTGAAGCCGTCCATGCTTGTAGCACCCACCACTTCCTGTGGCAGTGAATTCCAAGTGTTAATCACTCTTTGGGTGAAGAAGGACGTCCTTTAATAGCCACTGATGGACCTCTGCTCCATATGCTTATCTAATTCCCTTTTGAAGCCGTCCATGCTTGTAGCTGCCACCACTTCCTGTGGCAGTGAATTCCAAGTGTTAATCACTCTTTGGGTGAAGAAGTACTTCCTTTTATCCGTTCTAACCCGACCGCTCAGCAATTTCATGGAGTGCCCACGGGTTCTTGTATTGTGAGAAAGGGAGAAAAGTACCTCTTTCTCTACCTGCTCTTTCCCATGCATAATCTTATAAACCTCAATCATGTCACCCCTCAGTCGTCGTTTCTCCAAGCTAAAGAGCCCTAGTGCGCACGCGCTGACCCAACCGGTGCTGTAGCAAGCTAAATTTCAACGGATTTTCGCGCCGAGCCCCTCCAGGTATGCGCAGGAACCC